AGGGAATCAGTGAATGAATGAGTGAGTGAATTAGTGAATGCATGAGTGAGGGAATCACTGGATGAATGAATGCATGAGTGAGGGAATGAGTGAGTGAATTAGTGAATGCATGAGTGAGGGAATCAGTGAATGAATGAATGCATGAGTGAGGGAATGAGTGAATGAGTGAGTGAGGGAATCAGTGAATGAATGAGTGAGTGAATCAGTGAATGCATGATTGAGGGAATCAGTGAATGAATGAATGCATGAGTGAGGGAATGAATGAATGAGTGAGGGAATAAATGAGTGAGGGAATGAATGAGTGAGGGAATGAGTGAATGAGTGAGTGAGGGAATCAGTGAATGAATGAGTGAGTGAATTAGTGAATGCATGAGTGAGGGATTCAGTGAATGAATGAGTGAGTGAATGTATGAGTGAGGGAATCAGTGAATGAATGAATGAGTGAATGAATGTATGAGTGAGTGAATGAATGAGTGAGTGAGTGAGTCAATGGAGACACACATTTGAAGGATTTCACTGCCTTTGCTCCCCAGGCTTGGTGACTCAGGGTCTTCGCTGGGTGGACCACAGGTCTGACTTCACTTATGAAACACAAGTTAAAGACAAAATTACCAATCACAAGACGGTGACCTCAGAGCACTCCCCCAAATGCAGAGCCCTTCTGACCGTGGGGCCCTGGGCCACCACACAGTCACACGCTCTCCAAGCCGCCATCCACCCCCAGGCCAGCCCCCACCCTCGAAAAGCTCCCAGTCAGAAAACTAGCGATTACAGTGCGGGGTGACTGTGCCGGGAAGGAACTGTGAGGGCCAAAAGAGGGACCCCCAGGCCAGCCTTGGCTGGGGACAGGGACACTGGGGACTGAGCGGGGAACTGGAAAGAACTTCCAGGAATGAATATTACTTTGCAAAATGAATAGGGATTTACTTGGCCTGGGAGAAAAGGTCCAGGAGGAAAGGCCGCCGGTGGGGGTGGGGCGGAAGGTGCGAGGCCACCCGGGGAGCGCCCAGCCCAGCTGGTCAGCCCAGGAGTGCCGCTGAGTAGCAGCCCTGCCACTCTGACACCTCAGCCAGACGAAGAGGCCCTGGCCAGCAGGGGCCACCTAAGAGCTGGCATCTCTGGAGCTCTGGTATCTAATCCTCTTGTCACTGTCCTCCCTCTGCCAACGAGGACACTGGACATGACGGCTGGGAAGCGGCAGAGCTGGGAGCCCAACCAAAGCTGCCAGAACCCCAATCCTGAACCGTTGGTGGCCAACCGGCACCAGGTGTTAGACTGGGCCTCCGTTCAGCGACATGGTACTTGAGTTCTGGCTGAGAAAGAATTAAGAGCGAAGACTCAAACTAGAAGAGAAAGTGTATTTAGAAGGCCACAGAGGTCAAAGGAGTAAGCGGCAGAAAAATAGGCTCAGGAAACAAGTTATAGAGGAGGGCAGAAGAGGGTCTCCCTCTTCTCTCCCAGGCTCCGGGGAGAGAGAGGCAGGGAAGCCTGGCCAAGGGGGAGGGCTGGGCAAAGGCCGCACTGGGCCCTCCTCTGGTGGGCATTTATCTGGAGGTCTCAGGAGTGACCCCATACAGTACTCATCAGCTTTCCAGGTGTGCCCTCTCAGGGCGTGGTCTTTAGTGATCAGTCCACACCAGGGCTGTGGGGGTTATTGGTCAGTGTATGTCCTGACGTCTGTCAGCTGCGGCGTTGCTCCATCTGGTTTTGATGCTTTTCTGGGCCTGCAGCTGACACACAGCCGAGGTCTAGACATCATCCGCAGGGGTTGACGCTTAAGGGAGTGGTCACGCAGTGGCCTGCATGGCAGTCCCATGAGGCCACTCTTCGGCCCCTTGTCCCACCTCCAGGGAGGTTCGCCACGGGCCTGGCAACAAGCCAGGGGAAGAAAGGTCAAGGAGAGTCTGAACCATGTGACTAGTGATATTTATGAAAGGTCAGGGGGCCTAAACCACAGGAACAGCGATACACTGGGAGGAAAGGTCACTGGGCAGCGAGGTCCTTGTTTTCCCCACGTGGGGTTTTCCACCCTGGTGACCTTCTGTACCTGGCCCACCGTCCTGGCCCCGCTCTGCTGACTGCGGACCACCCGATCACCCCCGCACAGCTCCCCCGCACAGCTCCGCTCCCCTCTGACCCATCTTGCCTCAGCCTCCGTGCCCTCTCCGCCCCTACAGGGGCCGCCCAGATGGAGGGCTGGCTGGCTGGCTGCCTGACAGGGGGGTTGAAGGGGCGAGTGACAGAGGGGCACCCCTGCTCCTCCAGCGTCCGCTTTCCTCCCCGTTAGGTGCCTGTGGAGCTGGGGAGAGCCACCGGCCCAGGTCAGGGAGGACTCAGTGCGAAGGAGGGATGGTTCCTGCAGGGGTGGCAGGTTGGGGTCAGGGGGGCACGGAAGCCTGTGTGCAGGATGGAAAGGAGGAGGGGCCAGGACAGGCAGCACTGTGAGGGTCTGGCACAACCACCTGCCCCCCCCCCCCAACTGCCACCCAGACACCTAGGCTGGGAGCCCAGGGACCTGCCTGTTTGACAAGCTCCCTGAGCAATCCATCCTGTATGTTCTGGGGGAAACCCAAGGATGAGGCAGACAGAGCTAAGCGTTTGTCCACAGTCAAAGCCCACCTCCATCTCTCAGCTGCGTGATCTCGAGGGACTTTCACTTCTCTAGGTCTCAGTTAGTAGAAGGTAGAAGGCAAGGCTTGAGACCCATTTATTTGTCCAGTTCTCAGCTGAGATGGTAACAAGGAAAGCACCTGGTTAAATGACTACATGTGAACATTTGTGTCTTTGGCACTGGGGATACAATAGTAAGTAAAAAAAAAAAAAAAGATGGGGCTTGGCCCTGGGAATGAATGGGGTGTGGGGGAGGACTGGCCACAGCCTGGTGGCCCATCGGGCAAGGGTGGCTCTCTTGGGGGTCCACCTGTAATCCTGGAACTGGCCTAGGGGGGACCAGGAGGCAGCTCCGCTCACCCTATGAAGCCCTCCCACCTCCAGCGCCCACCCTGGGTGGGGAGAGCTGAGTCATGGAAAAAGTTAGCTCTTCAGGCTGTACCCTACTTCCCTCCTCCATCAAGCCCACAAAGGCTCCTTTCACGGTTTTTTTTTTGCGGGGTGGGGGGAGCGGGGAGCGGTGGACAGACTGTGGGGCCCTCTCCCCAGGCTGGGATGTGAAATTTCAAACTTCGCCCTGGAGTTAAATTCCCCACCCCCTGCCCCAAAGGAAACTAAGGGAGGAGGGGATACCAAGAGCAAAGGACCTGGGAATGGGGCGGGGGAGAGGCAGGAGGGTGTGTCCCCTGCAGTTCTTGCTAAAGCCAGGCCACAGGGTCCCTCCAGGTTGGCCTGCAAGCCGAACTGTGCACCCTGTCCACCATTCCCCCCGCCCCCCTCATCTTCCTGGAGAGCTTGGAGGGGGGCTCAGAGGACATGACAGCCCCTCTCCGGAGCATCTGGAGACGGAGAGGCCTGGGGCCCACGGGGATGCCAGACCCACAAACCCACATCCTGAAGGTGGAACAAGTAGAAAAGAAGGTGCCTGCTTCCCGGCCACAGTCCAATCCCACCTCCTGTTAGCAGTGCCTGACACTTACCTTTTTAGTCTGATTTCAGCCCAAACTTAGATGGTTGGGAGAAGCAAGAGGAGCCCCTCTGCGGCCTTGCATGAGTTACTTAGATTTTCGGAGACTCGGTGTCCTCCTGAGAAATGGGCGCTGGGACACCCACATCCCTGGGCTATGAAGGAGATTAAGTAAGAATGTGCGTGAAGGGTGTGATACGGGGAAGCGCAGTTGGGGCTCTCAAACTCCCCACTCGAGCAGAGGTCGTTAGCTAGGACCCTGTGGTCACCCATGGTCACCCGGTTAGTCTGGTCGGGCACCTGAGCAGGGTGGGGGCAGCTGGTGGGGGATCAGGGAGTTACACTGCCGTGTGTACGAGTTACTTAACATCTCTGTGCCTCAGTCTCCCCATAAAGCAGTGCCTGTGTGGGGAGGGGGCGCTCTGTGAGATTCAGGAGCCTTTCCAGGCTTGGAAGGAAGGTAGGTTAAGTTTGCTGGAGGCTGGGGCAGCCTGGAGGCACAGTGTCGCATCCAGGCCACTAGGCGGCCTCGAGGATAACAGATGAGATCGGGCTGAGCGCACCCCTTGCAGCTCGAGACGTTGTGAGTTGTCTACTTGGCAGGCCTCAGCAGACGCCAGCCGCCACGGGGTGGGAAAGGCCTGTCTCTCTAGACTTAGGATCTCTTTCCCCTTTTTACAGACCTGCAAGGTAGGAGGCGGCAGTCACTTCGATGGAGTCCTGACTTTACCGGTGGCCTGGGGGTCTGCAGAAAGGTCCTATTCTGGGGTGTTTGATGGAGGCAGAAGGGAGCCTCATCCTGCACCTCTCTGCTCTCTCTGGCCTGAATGGGGTGGCTGGGAAGAGGAATCAGGTCTGGATTCGGATCCCTCCCTCCTGCACTTCCTGGCAGTGTCACCTAGCAAATGGGGGTTATGGAACCCCACTGCCAGGTCAGTGGGAGATTCAAAGTCAGAACAGAAGCTTTCAGCACGGGACAGAGAGTGACCCGTGAAGCCCACTCTCCCAAACCCCCCTCGCTCTCCCAGCTGCTCTCCTGGTAACGAAGATCCTCCCCTGCAGAACTTCTCCCCAGAACTAGAGGGTCTTTGCTATGGAGGAGGGGTAACCCCCAGCTTCACCTCCCCACATGAGAAAGTTTCTCAAAAAGACTCTGAGGATCCCAGCAGCGTCACCAGGCGGAGCGTCGGCCGAGCCAAACCTGGTGCACCCAGCCCCGCTGAATAAGAACTAAGGGGGCAAGGCCTTGAACATATCTCTCTGCAGAACCGCTGCCCCAGATCACAGGGCAGCTCCCTGGCTCCCCCTCTCTCCTCCCGGCCTGGGCCCATCAGGGGCAGCAGGAAGCAAGTCCCATCAGCACTTTTAACTGGGGCTTCTTTTTAGTGAGTCACCTCCCAGACTTCCTGCAACAGACAGCTCTAAATAGCTGGGTCCTACCCTCCAGTAGGGGAGGCGTTCCCCATGGGGAAGACAGGACGTTGCAAGGTGGGTGCCCAGCTAGGGCAGCCCAAGGAGACCCAAAGAGAGACACTGCTGCCAGCACTCCACAGGGGGGCACTGGTTTAAGGACGTTTTGTTTACAGGCTTTTGTTATTAAGGAAATTGCTGTCAGTCAAGGTAATTCTAGCCCAGATGAGCAATAAATATGCTCCCACCTAATCTTATGGGGATTTTATTGGCACCTTGGGGGCAGAGGTTCCTCTACCCTGCCCACCCTTTCCCCTCACAGCAAAATCCTGCTCCCCAGCTGTTTCCCCATCAACATGAGAAACTCGGAGCAGCTTTAGAAAGTGCATCCAAGTGAAGACAGAAGACGGCTGGGCAAAGGTCGGGGGTGGCTTCCTGGTCCTACCTGCAGTCAGGGGGATGAAATAAATAACATGAAATAAACCCTGGGCGACCTGGTTGGATCAAGGCACGTGCAAGCTCCCCAGACCTGCCCGGAACGCAGGGGCAAGTCACCTGGTCCCCCAGGCGCCCTAGCTCGGAGACATCGTGTCCTGGACAAGGAGGAATGTGTCAAGGAGAGAGCTGGTTCGCAGGAGTCGATTCCAGCGTGTTCGAGTTACCGCTGCGAGTCCTCAGAGGCACCGCCGGCAAGTCCCGGCTTGCAAAAAGGGGAACCAGCCCCGGGAGAGCTGGAGTCGGAGCGAGCGCGTGTGCGCGCCCGCGCGCGCGTGCGCCCCGCGACAGCGCAGGGGGAGGGGAAGCAGCGGCAGCCACTCAGAGGAACGGGAGTGAAGCCTCCGACCAACTTTAACTGTCAATCAGAGTTAATGGGGTATTAAAAAAAATGGGGGGAAAAAGGCCGCCCTCTAGCTCCGCGCCGCTGCCTCCTCGGGAGCGAATGAATAAGGCGGTGCAGACCCGGGCGTCCGATCCACGCGCGCTCCGTAGCCAGGCCCTCTCCAAGTTGGAAAGGACAAAAAGAAGGCAATAAATGCTAACGAGGGAGAGAGAGGGAGCCGGATCGAGCGGCAACTCCCAGACTCTGCTGGAAGAGAGAGGGAGGGAGCCGGAGAGAGCGAGCCCTGCACGTAAAGAAACTGACACCCGGACCCCCCACTTCTGCTGCACGTTGCTGGCAATCAGAGCGCGTTTAAGCAATTTCCTGAGCCCAAGAATAGCAATGAGACGGGAGACTTTCGCGGGCTGAAATTGGGAGCTCCATGCACTTTTCCCCCACTTTTTTTTTTCCTGGAGAAGGGGTGGAGGTGCCGCCACAATTTGGAAACTGCTTTTTTTTTTTTTAATCTTGCACTTTGAAACCGCGGGACTGTAGCGTGGTGCGCGCGTGTGGTTGGTGCCCTTTTTTTTTCCCTCCCCCTTCCCCGGCCTAAACTCCTCTGTCAGCCAGTAAACATTACCTGCGAATTCCCCAGCCGAAGCGGCGGCTGGGGCAAGAAAGTTCTTGTTAGAACTTCCCACCTCTGGCTTCCCCTCCACCCGCCTTACCGTCCCAACCTTCTGAGGCGCTTTCTCTCCTCCCCAGGGGGATTTATCTTTTTTTTTTTTTTTTCCGTTCTTCTTTTTCTCACCCGGTGCTTTGCATTTGAGAGAAGTGAGTTCAAGAGTGGCCAGGTGGGACGCCTCTCTCCCCCTCATTCAGTTTATTTATATTTTTGGAGGTGTTTTATTTATTTTTTTCCATTCCTGTTCGGTCCGTGGAGTTTTGCCCCCCGCCCTGCCCGGCTCCGCGGCGCGGAGGATGATGTGGAAATGGCTGGGCGCGTTGGTGGTGTTCCCTCTGCAGATGATCTATCTGGTGGCGAAAGCCGCCGTCGGACTGGTGCTGCCCGCCAAGCTGCGGGACCTGTCTCGGGAGAACGTCCTCATCACCGGCGGCGGCAGAGGCATCGGGCGCCAGCTCGCTCGCGAGTTCGCAGAACGCGGCGCCAGAAAGGTACGTGGGCAGTGCGAGTCCAGGGGGTGGGAGCCCGAAGGTGAGAAGGGCCCCGGGGGGCACGGGGCGCCCACCTGCTGCCGCGCCGGGGCGCCGAGAGTCGCCGGCCGCCCGACCTCTCTGCGCCACCAGCAAACGCTGAGCTAGTCGGTTTTACCTTGTAAATTTCCCGGGCGCCGGGACTGTCTTTTTTGGCAAGTCCCGAGCTGATCCGCTCCTTGAGGATCGGGGGCTGGCGGGCCGCGCACCCCCACCCCGAAACTTAGGAGACCCACCCATTTCCCACATTCCTCCCTCCCAGAGGAAGGTGCCGCGTCCCCCCTCCTCACTTCCCCTCTTTGCCACCACCCTGGAGAGTGCAGGGTGTGTGCGCTCCTGGGTAGAGCTTGGAGCCAGCGCCTGCGAGCTGGCTCTTGGTATTTTCCTTGGCAACCCGCTTCCCAGCCCCAACCTGGGCGGCTGAAGCTCTGGCGGAGGCACGTAGGGAAGGGGCACTTGGTTTGGGTTCGAAGCGGGGGAAGCGGTCTCTGATGGTCCCGTGTGGCCTGACGGGCATTCGCAAGGCCGAGGTGTCTGGACATCTGGGGAGAGGGACCCGGGAACCGGCAGCTGATAAAGAGCCCTTGTTCTTACCTTCAACTCTGCCCCCCCACCCCCACCCGCCGCCCTCCTCAGAGGGGGGATCCTTCTCTCTAAGCTCTGCCTTTAACTTTTTGGTAGACCCGGCGCCTCTTCCCCCCGTGCCCCCAGACCTGGTGCGGAAGAGTGGGGAGGGTGAGCGGCCGGCTGTCACCCTACTCCGACCGAGCCAGGCTGACTCACCCAAGCCCTGAGAAGAGGAAGAGCAAAAACAGGGAATTCGTTTGAAACTTAAACTGTTGAGAGCTGGGGGTTGGGTGGGGGTGGGGGGGGTGGAAGGGCCAGCAGAGCCAGCTGATCTGACGGGGGGCCACATACCTAGGAGATTAAGTAAATATGTACTGTAGAGAACCAAACCTGCCTGTAATTCCAGGTTGCTTTTGTTTTGTTAAATACTGCCCTGAGATTTACAATTCCTCCGGGGTGGCTGGGACTGGGACTGAACTTTGGAGCCTGAGCTATCAGCCAGAGCTGATTGCCATTAACTCTTCCCTCCCCGGCCGGAGGGGGCCTGTCCTGGCCCAGGGAGCAGGGGTCGGCCGTCCGGGGCTCCTGCCTCTCCTTGGGTGGTTTGGACAGCTGCTTGACCTTGCAGTTGGAAGGGGACTTCGGAAGTGGTGTTAACCCTTGGACACACGGAAAAAGGAGAAGTAAAGCCTGTTCTCAGCGGTTTCATTTCCTTGGGGTGATGGCCCAGGGAAAGACTCCCAAAGCCCTTTGTGGAGGGGGATCAGGAAGGCAGATGATGGTGTCCTGGGGGACGTGGGTTCCGGACAGTCGCGTGTGATTGTCATTCCTTAGCTGTCTGCACCCCACAGAAACTTTTCTTCGGACGCTTCCAGCTGGCCCAAGTCCTGGGTCTCTTTTACTGCGCTTGTAACTGGCTGCAGTGGGCATATGAAGGACTCTTTTAGTCAGTCTGGAAAAACTTGACTGACTATAAACAAGCCTAAATTGAAAGAAGGATGTGACACTGGGGGAGGAGGGGAGAAGAGTGCAGAGAGCCCTGGGAACAGCGCCCACCTCTCTTGGAGGGGACCTGCTCTTCCAGGGAGTGACCCCAGGGCCACTTAGAAGTATGCCTTAAATCAGCACCTGGTCACCAGAAGCAGGACGCACGGGTCCTACGAAACTCCCAGTGCCCTTCACCCTTGCATCTGTCCTCGGAGCAGTCAGGGTGACCGGGAGCCAGCACTCCCTATCACTCATCATGGTCTGACCAATTACTGGAGCTGCTTTTTAATGAGCCGTCCTCTCGCTGCCACCGTGGGAAATTTGGAGTGGAGGCTTCTGGCCTGAGTCCATCTGAGGCCAGGGAGGGGCCCCTGGGACAATCTTCAGACCTAGGGGTGTGTGGGCACCGAGGGGCAAGTGTTGTGGAGTGGGGGATTTCTGGGAGACTGCTCCGTGGGTTGTATGCACAGTGTGGGTTGCGGGGCAGCCCTGGAGGGGCTGGAGAGGGCGGGGAGGGCCCTGCCCAACCCCACAGCCTGCAGTGAGGTCAGACAGGTGGTAGCGTCAAACTAAGGATGACTGTCCTTCCCAGAGTGGAAGCAGAGGCTGCACCTGGGAGTGCTTCTGGTGTGGATTTGGGTGGGATTGGATTCAGAGGGGAAAGCCCCCCCCCCAGAGAGAAAGAAAGAAAGAAGGAAGGAAGGAAGGAAGGAAGGAAGGAAGGAAGGAAGGAAGAGAGAGAGAGAGAGAGAGAAAGAAAAGAAAGAAAGAAAGACTGAGTCTGCAAAGAGCTGGCACATTCAGGAGAGGTCTGTTTACTTTTCAAGGGGGGGTGTGTGACAATCCAGTTTCATATAATGACCTTGAGTCAAAAGGGATTTGGCAATATTTGTGGGCAGTAGTGTGCCTTAGGCTGTAAAGGTGACCCAAATAAGGGTTTTTCTTAAAGGGACACAAAGGCTCCAGGAATTGGGAAGTCCCCCACCTGGAGACAGGTCTCCCTCCCAACCAGGTTCCAGGGTTACCAAGGCAGGGCTGGTCATGGTTTAGGGTCTCCAAGGGGAAGGCTTTCTTTTTTATTTTCCACGTCCTCCTGGAATTCCTCCCACGAAAGCATTTAAAGGGCTTGGGCCCATCCCTCTACCCTGCCGCCGCCCTTGAGGGCTCCTGGCTAGTCAGCTGGCCCAGCTTCCAAAGCCTTTGACCTTGACAAGGTTTTAGCAGGAGGAGGGGAAGGAGGAGTGCACTGTTTGTTTGGAAGTATTTGCAGTGGCTGTTCCAGCCTTCAGTCCAGTATGAGGAAGTGGCTGGACTAGATAGAGCTCTGGCCATGGCTGCCGGCCCGAGAAGGCAGGGGCCACATACCAGGGCCTGACCCCTGGGTTGGGGAGGGGTAGAGCTGGGGCTCAGGGATGCATTTCAGGGAGGTGGTGTGAGAACTGGCCCTCTGCCTTGCTATTCTTGAATTTCTAGCGCATGGGTCTAGAGCCCTGTTCCTAACGCAGCCAGCCAGGGACTAACCTCCTACGTAGATTTGTGAATTCTGCACCTCATCACATCCATTCAGCAGATCCCATATTCTTCCCATTCCAGTCCCTGGGGGGCAGGCCCAGGCCCCGCTGTCCCAGGACAGACATCTCTGCGAGACCTCAGCAAACCTGCTGAGTACCTGGCAGGTGTTGGCGCAGCTCTGGGTCCAGGTTAGGGGGACAGGGAGGGTAGAAGGATGGGCCCAAGCTCTATGTGGACTCCAGATTCTGCCTCTCTCTTCTCCGTCTCCCTTTGTGTCTCTGTGTCCTCTTCTGCTTAGGACACGGTCATTGGATTCAGGGCACATACCAAGTTCACTATGACCTGATGTTGACATCCTCAGCCAGTTACATCCCCAAAGACCCTCGTGAACACAAAAGGGGCCCCTACACAACCTGACGAGCTCAGAGGAGGCCAGTGCGGCGAGCCTTACAAACTCAGACAGAAAGGAACCACAGAGGAAGGTCTGAACGTAAAATTCCTAGCTAAGAGCAGGTCGTCCTGGACTTGACGCTCCCTGGAGTCTGTGAAGGGAGCCTGTCCCTTGTCATGTAGCTCTAGGGGAACGGACCTTTGAAGTGGCAGTTGGCTCCTTTTCCTGTCCCCTCAGGGCATACCCGCTACCCAGAGCAGACATCGCAGAGCCTTCGGGGTTATCTGGTTATCTTGTTGCTGGGGCTCCATCACCGTGTGCTTTGAATGTCAGTCTAAACTGTCCCGTGTTCCGACCAGTGGAAAAGACCCGTGCGTTACTCTGTTTTGCTTTTTATTCAACCCCAAAGATTTCCCCACTCTGCTTTCTCTAGCTCCTAAGTCTATCACCAATGGATTTCTTGTAACCCTCCTTACTCTTCTCCTTTTTATTTTACTTTACTTATTTACTCTTAGAGGGAGAGAGAAAGAGAAGGAGAGAAACATCAATGAGTGAGAGATACATCGACCGGTTGCCTCTCATGTGCCCCCAACTGGGGACCTGGCCCACAACCCAGGCATGTGCCCTGACTGGGAATAGAACCTGCAACCTTTTGATTCACAGGCCATTGCTCAATCCTACTGAGTTACATGAGCCAGGGCATCTTCTCCTTTGATTCTGATGTAAAATAAACTACAAAACTGACATTCTGCATGAGCCATTTTCTCCATCCATTGAGACTTTGCTTCCCAGCAATTGTTCTCAGTTTGGCTCAAATAAGCTCAAAAATGTCTCTACATGCTCGGAAGTCTCTTACATCAACACCCTATTTCCAAATAAGGCCACTTTCTGAGGTTCCAGGTAGACGTGACCTTGCCGGGGCCACTACACAGAGGAAGCCCCGTGGAGCTGCTCATCTAATCAGGGAAGGCTTCCTGAGGGAGGTGGCATTTGAGGGAGCCTTACAGAAGGTCAGGAGCTCCAACCAGAAGGAACATGAGAAGGGAGGGCAACCCAGGTGCAAGAAACCACGTGATCAAAGGCTGCGGACCTGGTTGAAGTTTGGGGGAGGGAGGTGGAAGGCAAAGACAGAAAATATTGCAGAACTTGAGAGGTAAGCAGGGAGTGTGTGTCTCAGACTCCGCATTAGGCCATTTCTGATGGGAACAGGAAAAGGAGGAGAGGAGAGGAGAGGGGTTTGAGCAGGCATCTTGTGGGACCCAGAGTCATCAAGGCCAAGTCCCTGCGTGAAACAATCGATAAGTAATGAAGATCAAGGAGTCTGGGGTGGCCTGGAGGGCATCCTCTCCCTGACGAAGCCTTTGCCGGGAATTTCTGGGAAAAGCACCCGGCTCCTACTTGGGAGCAGGGGCGTAGGCCACCTGTCCTACCTGTGGCATCTCAGGAAAGCCTTTCTGCCTGTGGCAGCCAGTCCCGGGGTCTCAGACAATGGGCCTTACAGTTTGGCCAGTCTCTGGGACTAGACAAGCACCTCCCACTTACTGCCCAGCCTCCTTCCCCTGGGAACAAAATCGGCCACATCCAGGGCCACGCCCCCAGTGGCCTGGCTCACCTGGGCTGGGGGGACAGAGACTGGGCTCTAGGCCGGGCTCTGCCGAGACCCGGAAAAGTCCGTACCAGCTCCAGGCTGCGGCCAGGAAGCACACCTATGTGCTGATCAGCCGGGACACAATGATCGCTGAGGTCCCAGCCTGCTCTAAAGTGTACCCGTCCCAGGAAGAAACCTATTGCCAAGCCCCCTGAGGTGTGAGCAGACTTTGGCAAAAAAGAAAAACAGTTTGTCCTCATTGCGGGTGATCTTAGCCTTGTGTTGCTAGTCATCAGATTCCACTTAATGAAAAATAAGCAGCTGTTAGGAAATGCGCCCTCAGTGGGTAGGACCACCCCCCGCCCATTCTAAACGGCCTCTGCAGCCGCCAGGTAGCCATCTGTCAGAGTTATTTCTTCTCCTGTAGATGTGAATATTCTCAACCCGTAGTTGTCAAGGGAATGAGGGGTCCGGGTTTTCCAACTAGTTAGTTGACTAACGTCACCTGGAACTTCCTGTGTGTTACCCTAAAATCCCCCAAATTGAGTATTTGGGCTTCAGAGCATGCTCGCTAGGTCCAGACCACGGACCCGGAGTTGCCGAGTCCGGCTTTGGTCTGCCCTGCCCATTCAGTGGTTCTCATTCAGGCTCCAGGTGCTTCCGAAGGTCCAGCTTTTCGGAGCCCAGGGCATCGCTGCGCCCTGCACAGAGCCCTGCCAGTCCACTCAAACGCACGCGTCTGCTGTGGGGCCAGTGGGCGCCCATAACACAAGGCGTGGAAACAAGCGCACACCGGGAATCTCGGAAAGGGGGGCCAAGTACCACCACAGGATAGGCAACCGATGGCTGACCGGACTCCTTTAGTCATTCAACAAGCCCGTCACACCCCTCCCGGTGCCAGGCACCATCCTAGCCGCTGGGAACAGGGCGGGGAGCATTGCAGACAAAC